CCCCCCCCCGCCCCCCCGCTGCCGTAGGCTGATGGACGCCGACCGCAAGCGGCTGTGGGAGAAGCGGTACTACTGCCACGCGGCACCCGGCGCCCTGCCCATGCTGCTGGCCAGCGCGCCCAGCTGGGAGTGGGCCTGCCTGCCCGACATCTACGCCCTGCTCAGCCAGTGGACCTACATGAGCCACCAAGATGCCCTGGGGCTTCTGCACGCCACGTAAGCCACGGGTGGGGTGTGGGTGCCACTGGGACGCAGGCTCAGGCACCGGTCCCCTCCCCGTGCAGCAGTGGGAATGGGGGGGTGATGCTGAGGATGCTGTCCCTGGGACGCCTGTCCCGGCCGCAGGTTCCCGGACCAGGAGGTGAGGAGGACGGCCGTGCAGTGGATCGACTCCATCTCTGACACCGAGCTGCTGGACTACCTGCCCCAGCTGGTCCAGGTGTGTGGTGGGACCGGGATGTGGCATGGGGTGTGTGGTGAGACCAGGAGGTGGCGTGGCGTGCGTAGTTGGACCTGGAGGTGGCATGGGGTGCGTGGTGGGACTGGGACGTGGCATAGGGTGCGTGGTAGGACCAGGAGGTGGCATGGGATGCATTGTGGGACTGGGATGTGGCATGGCATACATGGTGGGTCCAGGATGTGGCATGGGGTGCATGGTGGGACCAGGAGGTGGCATGGGATGCATTGTGGGACTGGGACGTGGCGTGGGGTGCATAGTGGGACCAGGAGGTGGCATGGGGTGCAATGTGGGACCGGGACGTGGCATGGGGTGCATGCTGGTCCCGTTGTGCTGCAAACCTGTCCCCTCTCCAGGCCCTGAAGTACGAGTGCTACCTGGACAGCCCACTGGTTCGCTTCCTCATGAAGAGAGCAATCTGCGACCTGAAGATCACCCACTACTTCTTCTGGTGGGTTTGCGGGGGCTGGGAGCGGCATGGGGGACACTGGGGCTCGCCTGACCTCGCGTGTCCCTGCTCCGAGCAGGCTGCTGAAGGACGGCCTCAAGGACTCCCAGTTCAGCATCCGCTACCAGTACCTGCTGGCAGCTCTGCTCTGCTGCTGCGGGAAGGGGCTGCGGGAGGAGTTTGACCGGCAGTGCCTGCTCGTCAACACGCTGGCCAGGCTGGCCCAGCAAGTGCGGGATGCCGCCCCGTCCGCACGCCAGGTGGGTGCCAGGGGGGTGCCAGGCTGCATCTTAGCCCCCTGTCCCGTGCCTACCTCGTCCCGTGCCCACCCTGTCCCATGGCCACCCCGCAGGGCATCCTCCGCGAGGGGCTGGAGGACGTGAAGCAGTTCTTCAAGGCGAACGGGTCGGGCCGGCTGCCGCCCAGCCCCAGCCCCCTGGGGAAGG